AATTGAAGTCGACAATGATCATTATCGTCATATTTCAACAATCGATAATAAGTGATATTTAATTTCTCTCCTTGGAGAGATATATCATTCATTATTGTGATTTAGAATATGAAATTAATGATCTCTCATCCGGAGTATAGTGATTGAATATTGATAGAATCTTTTTTTGACCCTTCGAGATCATATGTTATTCTTATTTGAATTCGATTACTACAATCAGAATGATAACTTTTAGTTTCATTATCTGAACCCGTTAGTGAACAATACCTTTGCCGTTATGGGCAATATATTGTTTATGATGAGGCGTTCAATTTTGAGACTGTAAACTAAAAAAAAAATCTCAAATAAGATTAAATCTTTCAAAAATCCCTTTTTTCAAAACTTTCCCCAACACTACACTAGGAGTCTCACATCTGACCGAGATGTCAAATTCCTAAACAATAGACACAGATTTGCAACTTAGTTCTGCCTATCACCCATGGTATGATGGACAAACTGAGGTGGTTAACCGAACTTTAGGTAGCATGCTTCGCTGCTTAGTACAAAACTATCCTAAACAATAGGAAGAAATGCTCAACACCGCTAAATTTGCATATAATTCTATGCTGAACCGATCAACTGGTAAGTCTCCATTCAACATTCTTTACACTAAGACGCCTAACCTTGCTTTGGATGTGTCTGTCTTACCTAAATGCAAATCAGGAGCTGACAATAACTTCACAAATCAATATTCTCAAATGCTTGCTGACGTCCACACTCAACTGACCAAAGCAACTAAGAAATACAAGACTGCAACCAACCTTCGATCACCGGAGGCAAACCTTGTTTAACATGGGCGATCTAGTCATGTTGTGCATGCGCCGTGAAAGATTCCCACCTAGAACCTGAATCAAGCTTAGTCGCTGCAAGCTTGGCCCTATCCCGATCGATCATTACCAAGATTAACGACAATGCATATATTGTTCAATTACCTTATGGCCACAATACATCTCCCACTTTCAATGTTTCATATATTTATCCTTATCACCCTCCGTATGCGTCCCTATTTAGTCTTATCTCATCAGAGTCGAGCTCTTTCGATGCACTGCACGTTAAGGAAAGCATAACTTACCCCTATTTGCATTTCCCACATCCACCGTACCCATTCTATTATCATAGTACTATGATACTATCATAGTAAATGACAACTACCTGATATTAGAGAAATAGTGGGAAATATATATAGGAACAAAAGTATGTAGAAGCACATTTTTTATCTATGTTTTCAATAGAATTTCTGCTCTGAGGCCGGAGGAGACTCTTCTCTTACTTCTTGTAAGTTTTTTTCTGTTTCAGGTTCTTTGCAGGATTATCCTGTGATGTGGATCATCTTACATGTGCGGATCATCTTACATGTGCTTTACTAGCTGAATCTCCACTACCCACATTTCCCTTTTAGTACTATGCAACTTTCTGCTATGAGTTGCTACTTTTAGCTTTCTTCTTTATACAAAAGCTGTATTACTTTAGTTCTTCGGTAGAAAAGAATATATAGACTTCTGTTTGCTGCTTAGCAAGCTCTTGCTTTAGTTTGGTGTTACTGTTCTATTCGTTTCACTGCAGGTAACTTCCTCTATCGACTACCTACGTCAGTATTGGTATCAGAGCTGGTTGCTTTGAGGAATGGCCGACGGTAGTAAACGAGGGACTGGCGACGATGATCGCAGTCTTGACACACTTTGGGAAGCCCACAACAACCTTAATCAGCGGATGGATGAGGTATCGTCTGATCTGTTCAGATTATCTGTTGATATGCGGCGGCAATTTCAGGCTCTGAGAGATGAAATGGGCGGACACCGGCCAAACCGGGCGTTACCCGCGGGGATGGCTACGTGCGACCGAGGTCGCGGACGTAGAAGGCGCATTCCAATTGTATCCGAATTCACCGAGTCAGAGGACGATGATGCTGGGTATTTCCAAGAGGAAATGCCGTCTGAATCAGATGGTGAATTTGTTCCTGTTCAGGGCCATCAAAGACGCCGTGGCAACCAGCACGCTAATCCTCAGGGAGAATTCAGGGTAAAACTCGATATTCCATTCTTTGATGGTCGATTGCATATTGAGGACTACTTGAATTGGGAGAGGTCGGTTGAAACTTTTTTTGAATACATGGATATCGAACCGGAGAAACAGGTGAAATATGTTGCTTGTAGACTGAAAGGAGGAGCTAGAGCATGGTGGTTGCAACTCCTGCAAACCCGCCGGAGAGAAGGGCGTGGTCCAGTTCGTAACTGGCATCGGATGAAACAACTTCTCCGCTCTCATTTTCTACCCACGGATTATGAACAGATGTTGTACCTTAGGTACCAACATTGTAATCAAGGGTCTCGGACTGTGAATGAATATACAGAAGAATTTTATCGCCTTAGTGCCAGGAATAATCTCAATGAAAACACCACACAGATTGTTGCTCGTTATATTGGTGGTCTTAAAGATGCTATTCAAGACAAACTTGAATTGAATTCGGTTTGGTCTTTGTCACAGGCGTTTAACTTTGCATTAAAGGCAGAAATGCAGTTGTCTCGGGCATACAAGCAGTATCCACCTAGGAGATCATATAATGATGTCAGTGCTGACATTATTAACCTATTACTCCAGTTCTTAAGCCGGTAGCTGGGCATCAAAATTCGACGTCCTCATCCCATAGTGCCCAACCAGCAGCCGCATCTAAATCTCTTGAGGATACCCGGACACAATCAAAAATGAAGGCACCAACGAGGGAGAATCCATATGCTCGGCCATCCACAATCAAGTGTTTTCGTTGTTTTCAGTTGGGACACAAGTCGAATGATTATCCAAATAGGCCGCAATTACACCTTGCCGCAGCAGATGGGGAAGAGGAGCCAGCTGAAGATGAAGAACAGAATCTTACAGTGGAAGAAGTGTCACCGGATACGGGTGAACCTTTGATCTGTATCATGGAGAAGATGTTATTGGCACCTCGACAGCAGTCCGTTTCACAACACAATTGTGAGACCTCGTTCCCTTACTGTTCCTATCTGATTTGGATTTTTCCTCTCAGGATCGTCCAGGACGATTGGAAATCGTCCAGGCCGATCGGCACTGTAGAAAATATCGACCTGAGAATAGTTCTGGGAACCGTCCAGGACGATTTTTCTAGTCTGATCGTCCCGGGACGATTTGGCGATTGGCCGGGCCGATCAGACAAATGATATATGAGAATGAGATCGTTTTGAGGAGAGAGAAAAATCATTTTTAATTAAAATATCTGTTTTGAGGAGAGAGAAAGAAAAAGGGAAAAAGAGGAAACCTGATTTTGGAGGCCGCGGAGCGCTTTTCGTCCGACGCTGCTGTTGGGAAAAGTGAAGATCTCGTGGTAAGGACTCCGAACCCTATTTCTGTTTTCAAAGATATTGAGTTTTGACCGAGTTGTGATCTGTTTTGTGTTTTCGTAGTCGAATTTTTGACGTGATTTGGATTTGGCACAACTTTCACCGCACAACTTTTGATATGTTATATATATGATTATTGCACACGATTTGACTGTATTCTACGAAGATTTTACCGGTCGGAATTGATTCTACGCGATTTTAATCGAATAGAAAATTATCGGGACTTGATTTGATTTGATTTCTATAGGGCAATAGTCTTGTATTGATGTCATCGATATTCTTCTGTAATTTGGTGAGATTTGGAATTTGTGCCTTTTTGCAGGATTTTTGTGTAAATTTGACCGACTGCCGTTACTCTGCCCGATTTTCGTACGATTTCTGATTTTCCCGAGATTGATAGATTGAATTGATATGTGTATGACTATTGATATGATTGTCCTAGATTTCTTTAACTATTGAATTTTCGTACTGCATAGACTCATTGACCATTGACTGATTCAGATTGATAGATTGACATGCATATTGATAGCATCGCCGTGCTTTGATTTCAGTTGTAGGCTTTGGTGACCTGCTGGGCTTTGTAAAGCTCATTATATGTGGTTGATAATTTCAGGTCCGAGCAAGGCAACTGGAATGGAGTTCGATCAGAATGTCAGACGAATCCTTTCACTATGGATGCCTGGGGCGTCACAGTTGGTATCAGAGCAAGTGTAGTGAAAGGATTTGATTGATAGTTTGATAGAATGGATTGTTTCAAGTGTATCGTTTTGCATACATATTGAATGACATGTGATTGACTGGATTGTGTGATTTGTATGGATTTCAACGAGTTTTGATTTTGATTCGATTCGATTCGATTTGAGTTTTGATTGGACGGATTTGCTTTGTATCGATTTTGCATTCGATCCCTTAAGGGAAATGTCGAGGACGACATTTTTTTTTAGGTGGGTAGATTGTAAAATCCTTAAAAAGCTGATTTTTTTGTGCTGTTAGTCCCGTACGATCTGACTTTAGTACTGGACGAACTGAAGAAATTTGTGAAGAAATCTGCCATTTTCGTCTGTACGAACCTGGAGCAGTCGGGACGATCCGTCTGTACGAAATCTGTCCAGAGAGCTAGTCGCCCGGGACGAATTTGGATTTCGTCTGTACGAAATTTGTCCAGAGAACCCATCGTACCAGGACGAAATTTGGATCGTCCAGGACGATCAGTGTTAATAAATATCGGATTTTAGATATTTTGGATTCATTTTGGAGAGAGAGAAAAGGCAAGAGAGAGAAAGAGAAGGAAGAGAAGAAGGAAGCTTGGTTTTGGAGGCCACGGAGCGCTTTTCGTCCGACGACGCTGTTAGAAGATTTGTTTGTCTCGCTGTAAGGACTCCGAACCCTATTTCTGTTTTCGAAGATTTTGTATTTTGATCGAGTTGTGCACTGTTTTGTGTTTTTGTAGTCGAACTTTTGACCTGATTTTGTATTGACACGACTTTCACCGCACAACTTTTAGTATGTTATAGATATGAATATTGTACACGATTTGAGTATTTTCTGCGATGATTTTACCGGTCGGAATTGATTCTACGCGATTTTAATTGAATAGAAAAATATCAGGACGTGATTTGATTTGGATTCTATAGAATAATAGTCTTATATTGATGTCGTGAATGTTCTACTGTAATTTGGAAGAATTTGGAACTTGTGCCTTTTTGCAGGATTTTTGTGTAAATTTGACCGACTGTCGTTACTCTGCCCGATTTTCGTACGATTTCTGATTTTCCCGAAATTGATAGATTAGATTGATATGCTTATGATTATTGATATAATTGCTATAGATTGCTTTAATATTGATTATTGAATTGATTATTGATTGATTATTGATACTGGAACACACGTATAACCTGGTTGAACATTGGTTGAAGATTGATATTGATACCTGTACAGGATGGTGGGCCGACGGGCTTTCCTTTAAACCATTGATCATTGATATAACGATTGGGAGTCATAAGGAGTTTATAAAAATGCCGACGGGCGAAAAGAGTGACGACTCTTATTGATAGAACCAATGTATGGATATCTACAACAGCAATATGGATTCTACAACAGCAACATAGCCAGTTGATTGTACTTGTCCAGTATATAGTATTGAATTGCATGTTTACTGTATTGATTTATGGATTCATTGTTTTATAGATTCCTGCTTTATCGACTTTGATTGGATTTACTAGATCGTACGATTTCATTGATTTCACTGATTGATTGCTGTGCATCGACATTGAGCATTGATATAGAAATGGATGGATATATATATTGTATTGATAGCATGGACATGAATAGTATAGAATTATTGACACTGTTGCCTATAGATTCATTGATTTCTGCTTATAGATTTATTGTTACTACTGCCTATGGATTTATTGATCTTGAGATTTATCGTACTGCTTTCCTCGTTTGATTTCATTGAATAAATAGTATTGATTAGACCGCATTGATTTGATTTGATAGCGATTGATTTGACGGATTGATTGATTTCCTATTGCGTACGAATTTCTTTGAGATTGACATGGATTTATTGAGTTGATTTATCGATTCGCTTGCTGCTGCATTGACTGGCTTTATTGACTATTGAATTTTCGTACTGCATAGACTCATTGACCATTGACTGATTCAGATTGATAGATTGACATGCATATTGATAGCATCGCCGTGCTTTGATTTCAGTTGTAGGCTTTGGTGACCTGCTGGGCTTTGTAAAGCTCATTATATGTGGTTGATAATTTCAGGTCCGAGCAAGGCAACTGGAATGGAGTTCGATCAGAATGTCAGACGAATCCTTTCACTATGGATGCCTGGGGCGTCACAGTTGGTATCAGAGCAAGTGTAGTGAAAGGATTTGATTGATAGTTTGATAGAATGGATTGTTTCAAGTGTATCGTTTTGCATACATATTGAATGACATGTGATTGACTGGATTGTGTGATTTGTATGGATTTCAACGAGTTTTGATTTTGATTCGATTCGATTCGATTTGAGTTTTGATTGGACGGATTTGCTTTGTATCGATTTTGCATTCGATCCCTTAAGGGAAATGTCGAGGACGACATTTTTTTTTAGGTGGGTAGATTGTAAAATCCTTAAAAAGCTGATTTTTTTGTGCTGTTAGTCCCGTACGATCTGACTTTAGTACTGGACGAACTGAAGAAATTTGTGAAGAAATCTGCCATTTTCGTCTGTACGAACCTGGAGCAGTCGGGACGATCCGTCTGTACGAAATCTGTCCAGAGAGCTAGTCGCCCGGGACGAATTTGGATTTCGTCTGTACGAAATTTGTCCAGAGAACCCATCGTACCAGGACGAAATTTGGATCGTCCAGGACGATCAGTGTTAATAAATATCGGATTTTAGATATTTTGGATTCATTTTGGAGAGAGAGAAAAGGCAAGAGAGAGAAAGAGAAGGAAGAGAAGAAGGAAGCTTGGTTTTGGAGGCCACGGAGCGCTTTTCGTCCGACGACGCTGTTAGAAGATTTGTTTGTCTCGCTGTAAGGACTCCGAACCCTATTTCTGTTTTCGAAGATTTTGTATTTTGATCGAGTTGTGCACTGTTTTGTGTTTTTGTAGTCGAACTTTTGACCTGATTTTGTATTGACACGACTTTCACCGCACAACTTTTAGTATGTTATAGATATGAATATTGTACACGATTTGAGTATTTTCTGCGATGATTTTACCGGTCGGAATTGATTCTACGCGATTTTAATTGAATAGAAAAATATCAGGACGTGATTTGATTTGGATTCTATAGAATAATAGTCTTATATTGATGTCGTGAATGTTCTACTGTAATTTGGAAGAATTTGGAACTTGTGCCTTTTTGCAGGATTTTTGTGTAAATTTGACCGACTGTCGTTACTCTGCCCGATTTTCGTACGATTTCTGATTTTCCCGAAATTGATAGATTAGATTGATATGCTTATGATTATTGATATAATTGCTATAGATTGCTTTAATATTGATTATTGAATTGATTATTGATTGATTATTGATACTGGAACACACGTATAACCTGGTTGAACATTGGTTGAAGATTGATATTGATACCTGTACAGGATGGTGGGCCGACGGGCTTTCCTTTAAACCATTGATCATTGATATAACGATTGGGAGTCATAAGGAGTTTATAAAAATGCCGACGGGCGAAAAGAGTGACGACTCTTATTGATAGAACCAATGTATGGATATCTACAACAGCAATATGGATTCTACAACAGCAACATAGCCAGTTGATTGTACTTGTCCAGTATATAGTATTGAATTGCATGTTTACTGTATTGATTTATGGATTCATTGTTTTATAGATTCCTGCTTTATCGACTTTGATTGGATTTACTAGATCGTACGATTTCATTGATTTCACTGATTGATTGCTGTGCATCGACATTGAGCATTGATATAGAAATGGATGGATATATATATTGTATTGATAGCATGGACATGAATAGTATAGAATTATTGACACTGTTGCCTATAGATTCATTGATTTCTGCTTATAGATTTATTGTTACTACTGCCTATGGATTTATTGATCTTGAGATTTATCGTACTGCTTTCCTCGTTTGATTTCATTGAATAAATAGTATTGATTAGACCGCATTGATTTGATTTGATAGCGATTGATTTGACGGATTGATTGATTTCCTATTGCGTACGAATTTCTTTGAGATTGACATGGATTTATTGAGTTGATTTATCGATTCGCTTGCTGCTGCATTGACTGGCTTTATTGACTATTGAATTTTCGTACTGCATAGACTCATTGACCATTGACTGATTCAGATTGATAGATTGACATGCATATTGATAGCATCGCCGTGCTTTGATTTCAGTTGTAGGCTTTGGTGACCTGCTGGGCTTTGTAAAGCTCATTATATGTGGTTGATAATTTCAGGTCCGAGCAAGGCAACTGGAATGGAGTTCGATCAGAATGTCAGACGAATCCTTTCACTATGGATGCCTGGGGCGTCACAGTTGGTATCAGAGCAAGTGTAGTGAAAGGATTTGATTGATAGTTTGATAGAATGGATTGTTTCAAGTGTATCGTTTTGCATACATATTGAATGACATGTGATTGACTGGATTGTGTGATTTGTATGGATTTCAACGAGTTTTGATTTTGATTCGATTCGATTCGATTTGAGTTTTGATTGGACGGATTTGCTTTGTATCGATTTTGCATTCGATCCCTTAAGGGAAATGTCGAGGACGACATTTTTTTTTAGGTGGGTAGATTGTAAAATCCTTAAAAAGCTGATTTTTTTGTGCTGTTAGTCCCGTACGATCTGACTTTAGTACTGGACGAACTGAAGAAATTTGTGAAGAAATCTGCCATTTTCGTCTGTACGAACCTGGAGCAGTCGGGACGATCCGTCTGTACGAAATCTGTCCAGAGAGCTAGTCGCCCGGGACGAATTTGGATTTCGTCTGTACGAAATTTGTCCAGAGAACCCATCGTACCAGGACGAAATTTGGATCGTCCAGGACGATCAGTGTTAATAAATATCGGATTTTAGATATTTTGGATTCATTTTGGAGAGAGAGAAAAGGCAAGAGAGAGAAAGAGAAGGAAGAGAAGAAGGAAGCTTGGTTTTGGAGGCCACGGAGCGCTTTTCGTCCGACGACGCTGTTAGAAGATTTGTTTGTCTCGCTGTAAGGACTCCGAACCCTATTTCTGTTTTCGAAGATTTTGTATTTTGATCGAGTTGTGCACTGTTTTGTGTTTTTGTAGTCGAACTTTTGACCTGATTTTGTATTGACACGACTTTCACCGCACAACTTTTAGTATGTTATAGATATGAATATTGTACACGATTTGAGTATTTTCTGCGATGATTTTACCGGTCGGAATTGATTCTACGCGATTTTAATTGAATAGAAAAATATCAGGACGTGATTTGATTTGGATTCTATAGAATAATAGTCTTATATTGATGTCGTGAATGTTCTACTGTAATTTGGAAGAATTTGGAACTTGTGCCTTTTTGCAGGATTTTTGTGTAAATTTGACCGACTGTCGTTACTCTGCCCGATTTTCGTACGATTTCTGATTTTCCCGAAATTGATAGATTAGATTGATATGCTTATGATTATTGATATAATTGCTATAGATTGCTTTAATATTGATTATTGAATTGATTATTGATTGATTATTGATACTGGAACACACGTATAACCTGGTTGAACATTGGTTGAAGATTGATATTGATACCTGTACAGGATGGTGGGCCGACGGGCTTTCCTTTAAACCATTGATCATTGATATAACGATTGGGAGTCATAAGGAGTTTATAAAAATGCCGACGGGCGAAAAGAGTGACGACTCTTATTGATAGAACCAATGTATGGATATCTACAACAGCAATATGGATTCTACAACAGCAACATAGCCAGTTGATTGTACTTGTCCAGTATATAGTATTGAATTGCATGTTTACTGTATTGATTTATGGATTCATTGTTTTATAGATTCCTGCTTTATCGACTTTGATTGGATTTACTAGATCGTACGATTTCATTGATTTCACTGATTGATTGCTGTGCATCGACATTGAGCATTGATATAGAAATGGATGGATATATATATTGTATTGATAGCATGGACATGAATAGTATAGAATTATTGACACTGTTGCCTATAGATTCATTGATTTCTGCTTATAGATTTATTGTTACTACTGCCTATGGATTTATTGATCTTGAGATTTATCGTACTGCTTTCCTCGTTTGATTTCATTGAATAAATAGTATTGATTAGACCGCATTGATTTGATTTGATAGCGATTGATTTGACGGATTGATTGATTTCCTATTGCGTACGAATTTCTTTGAGATTGACATGGATTTATTGAGTTGATTTATCGATTCGCTTGCTGCTGCATTGACTGGCTTTATTGACTATTGAATTTTCGTACTGCATAGACTCATTGACCATTGACTGATTCAGATTGATAGATTGACATGCATATTGATAGCATCGCCGTGCTTTGATTTCAGTTGTAGGCTTTGGTGACCTGCTGGGCTTTGTAAAGCTCATTATATGTGGTTGATAATTTCAGGTCCGAGCAAGGCAACTGGAATGGAGTTCGATCAGAATGTCAGACGAATCCTTTCACTATGGATGCCTGGGGCGTCACAGTTGGTATCAGAGCAAGTGTAGTGAAAGGATTTGATTGATAGTTTGATAGAATGGATTGTTTCAAGTGTATCGTTTTGCATACATATTGAATGACATGTGATTGACTGGATTGTGTGATTTGTATGGATTTCAACGAGTTTTGATTTTGATTCGATTCGATTCGATTTGAGTTTTGATTGGACGGATTTGCTTTGTATCGATTTTGCATTCGATCCCTTAAGGGAAATGTCGAGGACGACATTTTTTTTTAGGTGGGTAGATTGTAAAATCCTTAAAAAGCTGATTTTTTTGTGCTGTTAGTCCCGTACGATCTGACTTTAGTACTGGACGAACTGAAGAAATTTGTGAAGAAATCTGCCATTTTCGTCTGTACGAACCTGGAGCAGTCGGGACGATCCGTCTGTACGAAATCTGTCCAGAGAGCTAGTCGCCCGGGACGAATTTGGATTTCGTCTGTACGAAATTTGTCCAGAGAACCCATCGTACCAGGACGAAATTTGGATCGTCCAGGACGATCAGTGTTAATAAATATCGGATTTTAGATATTTTGGATTCATTTTGGAGAGAGAGAAAAGGCAAGAGAGAGAAAGAGAAGGAAGAGAAGAAGGAAGCTTGGTTTTGGAGGCCACGGAGCGCTTTTCGTCCGACGACGCTGTTAGAAGATTTGTTTGTCTCGCTGTAAGGACTCCGAACCCTATTTCTGTTTTCGAAGATTTTGTATTTTGATCGAGTTGTGCACTGTTTTGTGTTTTTGTAGTCGAACTTTTGACCTGATTTTGTATTGACACGACTTTCACCGCACAACTTTTAGTATGTTATAGATATGAATATTGTACACGATTTGAGTATTTTCTGCGATGATTTTACCGGTCGGAATTGATTCTACGCGATTTTAATTGAATAGAAAAATATCAGGACGTGATTTGATTTGGATTCTATAGAATAATAGTCTTATATTGATGTCGTGAATGTTCTACTGTAATTTGGAAGAATTTGGAACTTGTGCCTTTTTGCAGGATTTTTGTGTAAATTTGACCGACTGTCGTTACTCTGCCCGATTTTCGTACGATTTCTGATTTTCCCGAAATTGATAGATTAGATTGATATGCTTATGATTATTGATATAATTGCTATAGATTGCTTTAATATTGATTATTGAATTGATTATTGATTGATTATTGATACTGGGACACACGTATAACCTGGTTGAACATTGGTTGAAGATTGATTGATACCTGTACAGGATGGTGGGCCGACGGGCTTTCCTTTAAACCATTGATCATTGATATAACGATTGGGAGTCATAAGGAGTTTATAAAAATGCCGACGGGCGAAAAGAGTGACGACTCTTATTGATAGAACCAATGTATGGATATCTACAACAGCAATATGGATTCTACAACAGCAACATAGCCAGTTGATTGTACTTGTCCAGTATATAGTATTGAATTGCATGTTTACTGTATTGATTTATGGATTCATTGTTTTATAGATTCCTGCTTTATCGACTTTGATTGGATTTACTAGATCGTACGATTTCATTGATTTCACTGATTGATTGCTGTGCATCGACATTGAGCATTGATATAGAAATGGATGGATATATATATTGTATTGATAGCATGGACATGAATAGTATAGAATTATTGACACTGTTGCCTATAGATTCATTGATTTCTGCTTATAGATTTATTGTTACTACTGCCTATGGATTTATTGATCTTGAGATTTATCGTACTGCTTTCCTCGTTTGATTTCATTGAATAAATAGTATTGATTAGACCGCATTGATTTGATTTGATAGCGATTGATTTGACGGATTGATTGATTTCCTATTGCGTACGGATTTCTTTGAGATTGACATGGATTTATTGAGTTGATTTATCGATTCGCTTGCTGCTGCATTGACTGGCTTTATTGACTATTGAATTTTCGTACTGCATAGACTCATTGACCATTGACTGATTCAGATTGATAGATTGACATGCATATTGATAGCATCGCCGTGCTTTGATTTCAGTTGTAGGCTTTGGTGACCTGCTGGGCTTTGTAAAGCTCATTATATGTGGTTGATATTTTCAGGTCCGAGCAAGGCAACTGGAATGGAGTTCGATCAGAATGTCAGACGAATCCTTTCACTATGGATGCCTGGGGCGTCACAATTGGTATCAGAGCAAGTGTAGTGAAAGGATTTGATTGATAGTTTGGTAGAATGGATTGTTTCACGTGCATCATTTTGCATACTAGTGAATGACATGTGATTGAATGCATTGAATGACTGTATGGATTTCAACGAGTTTTGATTTTGATTCGATTCGATTCGATTTGAGTTTTGATTGGACGGATTTGCTTTGTATCGATTTTGCATTCGATCCCTTAAGGGAAATGTCGAGGACGACATTTTTTTTTTAGGTGGGTAGATTGTAAAACCCTTCAAAAAGCTGATTTTTTTTTAGTGCAGTTCGTCTGTACGAACTGGATTTAGTACTGGACGAACTGAAGAAATTTGTGAAGAAATCTGCCATTTTCGTCTGTACGAACCTGGAGCAGTCGGGACGATCCGTCTGTACGAAATCTGTCCAGAGAGCAAGTCGCCCGGGACGAATTTGGATTTCGTCTGTACGAAATTTGTCCAGAGAACCCATCGTACCAGGACGAAATTTGGATCGTCCAGGACGATCAGTGTTAATAAATATCGGATTTTAGATATTTTGGATTCATTTTGGAGAGAGAGAAAA